AAAAACAGCCTAAAAACCCCCAGGAACGTAAACTGATTGAGCTACTTAGAAACACAACCTCTCTTTCCCGTCATTCTATCTGTAATCTTATTCTGATGTCAACAGGAGGTCATCTGCAATTCAAAGCATGACACCGTTATCAAAGGCTGCTTTGGCTGCTGTTCAGTCTTAGTGAGACTTCAGAACCTTCAGTGTTGGGTTATTTTGTTTGGTTTGGGTTTTTACAAAAACCAAGCAATCTCTCAAAACCAGGCAGCCTCTTTAAGATGTCAAAAGAAGATTTTAATTTCTTACTTTGTGATCTAACAGTCATCCTGTATTGCTTTAATTAAAAAGTTGCCCTGGAGGATTCTTTAAATTAGATGTGGTATTGATCTAGATTTGTATAGGATCATGGCGCTCTTAAACTACATTTTACCAGTTAAGGCACACTTCATTTCACTTTGCATGCAAATAAACTACTCTGAATTTGCTATTAAAAAACACATCTCCGTAAAGACCTCTTAAAACCAAGTGTCCTGTTACCTATAGAATGCAAACTGTACCAGCGCAGGCAATCTATAAATGAGTTTCCAGAATTCCTTTAACTTGAATTATGTGTTTCACAATTAAAGTATGTTTTTCTTCTAAGATCATACCAGTGGAAAGCTGTGGAACATACTCTCCATAACTGTTGGCGGAATTGTTGCCATCTCTCTTGGACTTCTTACTTCTGTTTATGTTGCTACATTGCATGAAAATGACCTGTGGTTTTCCAATATTAAGGTAACAGTCATATTCATATTTTCATCAGTGCTTTCATGGATATTAATGAGTGTTAGTTGAAATTTCATTTGCTTATGTATTTGTCTTGGAACTTGCTCAAAACCATAGAATAGTTCATTAATTAAAAAAAAAAAAAAAGAAAGCTGTGGTTCCCACCACTTTTTAAATACTTGATCATTTCTATAAATACTTTTCCCCAATTTTTCTCTAGAAATATTGCTACACAGCTCCTGCCTGAGTTGTAGCTTCGGTTCTTCCAACTGTTGATCGCTATCTAGAACAGAATTTCAACGATCTACTATATGTCACTCTGTAATCATCTTTCTTTTATCCAGATCAATCCAACATCAAAACCCAGTTAAACTACACAACATGCAAAATCCTGGTACAGAGCTCTCTAACTCTATTTATACCATGATACTGCACAGTTTTTTACTATTCAATGCTAATGTTTTATAATGTTATCCTAAATGTGCAAACCTCAGAACATATTTCAGACATTCACCAGTGTATATCCAACCATTCCCAAGATCCAGGACTGACTAGTTTATTTCTAGTATCACTGCATGGGAAAATAATGCAGCTGCACACATACCTAAATTTAACTAGAGAAAAGAAGCAGGTGAGTCATTTTCCTTTAGATCCCTAAAATTCACTCTGTCAGGTCTATGTATGTTGTTATTCAAAGAGTACATGTATCTAATTGGAATACTTGCATTGCAGCGTGCCTTTCCTATACACACCTTTTCTGTCCCACAAACATTTATATTCTTGTAATCTTGTGGCATTTACTGAAACAACTGTTATTGTGTATTATACATATAATACTCTTTTGTACCCATTCTCATCTTTATTTGAATGTATAGATAGATACGTGTTGAAGGCACACCTTAGGTTTGCCTTTACCAAAACCCAATATTGATTAATATCACAGGTATTGTATAACGTGAAGTACAAACAGGCATGGACTCGTGGCAATGTATGAACATAATGGTTATAATGCAGGTACAAAAGGTGGAGTTTTTGCTCTGAAGACCCCACTGATACATGAACATCATGATTGCATAGTTACAAGATTGTGAAGTTTGCCAACTGAATTCAACCCTAAAAATTGAAAGTAAAAAGAGTTCATTATGCAAAGTCATGATTCTTAACTTCTAAGTAATCGAAGTCATAAGTCACATGTCCAAATGTAGTGGTTGCCTTTCTGTAATTTCAGTTGCAGTTTATAGAAAGCCAGTTCAGTTTTGGGCATCTTCCAGCAATGGTTTACCCAACTAGAAAACCTGTTCTGTGGTTGTTCTACTGTTTTATTCCATCTTGAATATGACTTTCAACAGGGTATTCATTTCAGCTGCTGCAGTATGTGTCAATCTTGTTCTTACTTGCTAATAAATATGGCTGCTATTATAAATTTGCCATGGTCATTGGAGAAAGGTATAGAATTATTTTCTTATCAGAAAAAGTGAAAATGCAGATCTTGAAGAGTGGTTTATGCTATGAAAGAGCTACATGATTGGTATTCCCTTTTTTTATTCCAAAACATCCTGAAAGAACAATCTAAAAAAAAAAAAAGAGAATTCAGAATACCGTGTCACATAGGCAGGAGCTGTGTTTATGTACATTTCTCACAGGGATCACAGAAGATTATAATCACTTATCTTGACCAAACAATTTGAACGAAAAGTTTGAATCTCCTCTCATATACATTAAAACAACAAAGATTTCTGTTTATGATGGTGAAAGACAAAACAGATTTCTTATCCAAAAATATTTTCTCAGTTTTCTGAAAACTTCTTGGCACAACACATAAAATGGCTAGTCTTTTTGCAGTGATTTTTCAATAGCTGTTTAGAGACTGCTGCTCAAATATAGTATCTTTTGAGAACAGGATCTGCTATGAAAATAACAAAACGGGGAGAATGGCATCACCTCTCCTCTCAGCTGTTGCATTGCTTGTTCAGATGCAAACTCTAAAGCAACTTCAGATGAGCCAAGGCCACACAGCAAATGAATACTGTAACACAAATAGGTAAACTTTAGCTTTCATTGGTTCCTCGTCCCTTCTGAGTAACCATTTAGACCACTACTATTGAATTTACCTTTAATAAAACCACTGCTTGCAAGAAGTCAGGAATAAAACTATCAAATTTTAAATCTATCTGACATGCAGGATAAGAATCTTGGGATTCTTTCTCTGAAATGCTGATATTTCCATTTATACATTTTGAATATAAAAGAAAGATGAAAAAGGTGAGGAACTGGGTAGCCTGCTTATTAGTACTCTAGAAAGTGAATGCGTAAGCCACAAAGAGAAGCAGGGCATTCCAGTACTTTTCCAAAGAAGTACCCATTGTGTCACGGGTACTTTTACCCTGGATCAAAAGTCTGATTTTAGTAGGAACCATGTCATTCTAACAGATGGGCATGAGGTTAACCATCCAAGAGAAGACATACAAGGATTAAATCTTGTTTGCTGAAGCCATGATTCTCAACTGGGAACGCTGGTAGCAGCTGTACGTATATGTATAATATGTTTCCACTTGTGTTGTTCAGACTACTTCCAAATCTTTCTGATTTTAAACTGTACAACTAAAAATATTTTCAGTTACACAAATTGTACTTCAGCTTTGTCAAAAAAGAAAAGTACTTGGAGGTTTACCTTATGCTTTTTATAGAAAACTTCAGCTCAGACTATGGCTGCTTGGTTTGAGGAACGTAAGGCTTTTTTAGAATTTTGCCTTTGAGAGGAAGTCCATTGTATTTTTATTTTAATGTTTAATGTTTGGATACAGTTGCATAAATTGAAATCATATGCAACTCTGTATGTATCCTGGAGGATAGTGTTGGGTTTTTTTAACTTGAAACAGTGATAACTTCTTTGTTAAAGACTTACTAATTGAATATACAGAAAGAGAAACATGTGCTCTTACCCATACAGACTTACCCATAAGTCTGTATGTTTTTGTTGACGTGGAATACTAGGAAAAGTATAAATTGCAGTAGAACTGGAAAAGTATTGTAAGTGAATAAAACAGATGTTATCTTAGCATGAAACAGATGTAAAACTCACTAGTGTTTGTCTCATAAACTATAGCATTTGGTTGAATACAGCTGGTGCCAGGATTACAAATTAATCATGTTTGAATGCGGTTTTGCTAATTAGATCCCCCTCTGTGACTACTATCTCCCCCTTAATAAATTCCAAATGTTAACATTCCTTTTTTTTTTTTTTTTTTTTTTTTTTTAATGAGCACTTAGAATCAGCCTCTTTTTGGTATTAGAAAACTTTTCAGTAATGATGAATTTGAAACTAGAGCTCGTTCAAACTCCAGCATTCTCATTTTGCTAAGTGAGTGGCTTTTAGTATTTAGTGCCAATGTCAGTTTCTTCTGCTGGTATTACAATGATTTGTATGTCACAGTGCAGCTGGAGAGTTTAATTGTGAGCTTACATTGAATCAGATGCGTTTTTATCTGTTGATTTTCCTAAGACCAGAACTAATATTGATTTAGTTTGTCAACTGTTTACTTCAATAAAACACATGATTAGAGATAAGATTCTGTACTGAGCAGTTGAGGGGGAAGGAACATGATTTTTTATCTACCTTTGTGTTAGCTTTGAAATAGTATTGATCCTGTTCCAGTGAAAGAGACGGGGCTGTATAAGAAAGATGAAAGTGGATATTCTATGCAAGGTTGCATTAACCAGAATAGCATTCATAAAAATCTCAGAAAACAGTAACATTCTGTTATTTCAGTAATGTACTTTTGTAAAGAAAGCTTAGTAAGATTATTTTTAGACATCTCACTTAAATTTCTTAATGACTTGCATGGTTTAAACCCGGCCAGCAACTAAGTACCAGGCAGCTGCTTGCTCACTCCCCCCTACCCCTGATGGCATGGGAGGAGAATTGGGATAAAGTAAAACCCATGGGTTGAGATAACAGCTTAATAATTTAAATAAAGTAAAAAATAATAATAATAGTGATTATTATGATAATAATGATGTAAAGGAAAGGGAGAGAGAGGAGTGAAACCCAAGACAGACAAGTGGTGCACAATACAATTTGCTAACAAGCACCCAGCCCATCCCAAAGCAGCCTTGTCCCTGGCCAATTCCCCAGGCCCAGTTCCGTAGTGAACATGACATTCTGTGGTATGGAATATCTGTTTGGCTAGTTCAGGTCAGCTGTCCTGTCTGTGCTCCCTTCTGGCTTCTTTTGCCCCTCCTCACTTGCAGAGCATGAGAGCCTGAAAAGTCCTTGATTTAACTTAACCACTACTTAGCAACAATTAAAACATCATCATTATTCTCAGATTCAAGCCGAAACATAGCACTGCACCAGATACTGGGAAGAAAATGAACTCTATCCCAGCCAAAACCAGGACATACACCACATACAGGAATCTCATTTGATTTTCGAGTTTCAATAAAACCTTTTCTAACTTACTGCTTTTGAGAGATACTTGCTGAGATGTTTCTGTATCAACTACTAAAAAGATCACTAACAATAAAACAATTTTGTATACGATGTCTATTATTCTCGTCATGTCAGTTGTTCACGCAGTTGTATTTTGTTTAAATGTGGTTGCTCAAGGCTCTGAATTTGTTAAATTTCATTAGGTCTTCATAACTAAAGAGTCTTTAACAAAAGGAAGTAAATTCCAAAGCAGAAATCCTGTTCTGAGACACTTCTCTCTGGGACATCTTTTGTATCTCACTGGGCTCCATCTGCTGCAATATTAGCCAAGAAAGAGACATAGCTTCAAGTGTACCTAGTTTAAATAATTTGAACATTTTAAAATTAAAAAATAACAACTTTACCTACACCTGAAAACAAGTAAAGAATTGTTTTTCCTTTAATCTGTAATTTGAGAGTGATGAACAGCTGGCTAATTGCCAGAAACAGCACTTACCAAGTGGGCAACAGCATACCCTGCCAGCTGAAATACCAGAGTATCATTATAGTGCAGTCCTATGTAAAGCACACTGAATTAGTTTAGCCTTAAGGTGGCAAAGCCATGGAACACTATGGGACATCTACATCTGGAAGAAAAGGTTAAATACATGAAGCAAATATCTGCAGCTTTAAAGTCCAGCTGTTGGCCACTGTGCCTATCTAAACATTGAATATTACAGAAGAATAGTAAAATATCCAGAATGTTTCTGAACAGCATTCTGAGCATCATCACAAAAGGGATATTCATTTCCCCAGCTACCAGAGGCATCGACACCTCAGCCCTTTGCCTCACACCCTTTATTTGAACTGATTCACATAGAGTGCACTAACAAGCCACTGTATAGCTCAGTTTCCCTGGTGCAGCAAGAATTTGAGTTGAAGGCAGCTTCATATGATTGTGAAAAGCAAACAGAAAGTGAAATTATATGAACTTTTACTTGCAGGAAGTGGAAAGAGAGATTTCATTCAGAACAGAATGTGGACTTTATTACTCCTACTACAAACAGATGATTCAGGCTGCTTCCATCCAGCAAGGTATTGTAAACTGTAAAGTAAGTTTTACTTCATGTTGCCAGCTGACTATTTTTAAATTTTTTCAAATATAGTTGAGAACAAGGGATACTGTAATTGTGAAAGATAGTGTAACAGTTGTACTGGAGACAGATTTATTCTGTTCCTGTGCCAGGGAGCCACTGAGTAACGGACATAATAAATTTCACAATGATACAGGGGTTTCTGTGTCACACCTTCATATTCTGATGAAGGCAATCACTTGGAGGGACAGCTTCCATATCTGTTAAGTTTCAGCCTTGGTGGTTTATTCAGTATATTACTTTCATTTTTATTCTTCTCTTGTTCAATTTGAATTAGGAGCTATTTGTGGGAAGGGGCCATTTTTTTGCTGTATGCCTGGACAGTAAGTGACACCATAAGCAGCTTCCAAGGAAATCCTATGCAATGATGGGGTTTTCTGTGACATTCTCATGTTTTCTAGACACTTAACTGTTGCTCCCTAGCAATTTTTCCTTATACTACACTTTTGTCAATATTAACATCACCTGTATTCAAAGTAATGACAAGAATCTCAAGATCCAGTATGTACCACAGATTCTATGCTAGGAATGCAAGTGTAAAAAGAAATGTTACATATTTGTTATTAAATATATAGTACTTGTATTAAGACTCTGAGTCAGATTCAAAGCAGAGAAAGCGAAGACCTCACAAGGTCATGTTGATTCAGAGGTAATGTGATCTGAATCCTTGATTCAAAGTTTGCCATTTTTGATGACAGATCCTAAAATACCTTTGAAAAAGTTATTCACTGTTCAAATGAAGATGGAGGGGGAAAATGATAATCTCCTATTTCAATTTCTCTTTATCGTTAAGGTTTACATGGTTTAGTATATGACAATAAAACTGAATCTGTGAGGACAATTAACATACTTGAAAGAATGAATGTTTACCAGGAGGTGTTTCTCAGCATTCTGTATAGGATTCTTCCAATTCAGGTAGGCGTTTATTTATGGCTTTAGATTGTAAGTGCATTATGAAGATTGTGCAGTGAATCATAGCTCCCTTTTTTGTAGTTATTTTCTAATTAGAAATACTCCTGATACCTTTTTAATTTGTAAAAGCAAAACCTAATTCATATTAAGTATAAGCCCCCATCAGTGTTTTATGTCAACATCAGTATTCTTGTGTTTTACAGCAATACCTAGAACCTGTTTATTTTTATATCTACACTTTGTTTGGACTTCAGGCAGTTTATGTCATTGCTCTGTATATAACAAGCTGGCTTCTTAGTGGAACATGGCTTTCAGGGTTGTTGGCAGCTTGCTGGTATATTACAAACAGGTAAGTGAGATTAAGCCTTCTATCTTTCTAAAATTGTACCTCGTTTCAAAGGTAAGGCATTAAACCTTCAGGTACATGGTTAACTGGACAGAAACCAAAAAATAAAAATGAAACTGATTAGCCAGAAAATGAAAAAAAAATGTTTATATAGTACAAAACAATCAGAAAACAAACAGACATTGCAGATGAGGATTTTAAAGTTTCAAGAAGTTTGAGTAAAAAATTTTGGCTTTAATTGGTCTCTGAAACTGGATTACATCTTTCAGATGTGTCTGGATGTCCAGATGATGTAAGATATGTCCTGTCATCTCCAGCCTAGGATCGCTTAGGTATTAAAGACAGCTGTATATATGCCCTTCAGATCTCTTCTCACTGTCCCACACCCATTCTCCAGGGATTCCTTCAATAGCCTAAAACTGTCAGAATTTCAGCTTCTCTGTTTCCATCTGGCACTAAGACTCAGAGAAAAAAGGCAGCAATTGAGCTGTTCTGGTGCTTTATCATTTTGAGAATTCTCAATTTGGGGAGAAAAACTAAAGAACGGGGTTTATGCTAGCAGTAAGCTGCTGGCATGAAGCTAAGACTGGTGACATAGGCTGTTACCTGTAAATTAATCAGGAAAATGAAAGTACAGTGTCAGTTCTATCAAAACTTTTTGATACGTTAATCAGCAGCTCTAAAGGTGTTTATCTGCAAGCATGTCCATTACAGAATAAATAAGTATATAGAGATAAAATGTTTCTTTCTCCAAAGATGAAAGTAATTAAAAAGTACATGCAATGTGCAGTAGTTCACGTTTATTTCATTAAGTTATCTTTTCCATTTACAGAGTATTTGGAGCAGATCTGTTTTGTCCATATTTCTAATAATGGAAGCTTGTTATCCTGTATACAAATAGAATAAGTAAATGGAATTGATATGGATAAAGACTTTCTGTCCAGATGAAGTACATATGAAGCTACCGAGCTACTACGTTTTAGATATCTTTTTCGTCCCTATAAGCACGTTGCAGATGGGTTACTTACTTTAGTTTTTAGCAAAAATTTACACAAGAAGAAAGGAAATTATTATTTTTTTTTTTTTGCTTTAACTTTCAGTTCAGGTTTTGTAAACGAATGCCATTTGGGGAACTTCCACTCACTTCCATCCCATACTTTTTATGCTAAAACATTCAAAAAATGCCCGGAAGTTCCTAAACAGTTTAGTGGTGTTCAGATCTAATGCACTGGGATCACTGTGAAGAAACTGATACCTGTTAATTATTATATGTTGTTTTTGCAAACTAAAAAATGAAGTAGAATTACCTGTGATATGAAAACTCAACATTTTTAGTGTGGGTTTGTTTTGGCTTTTGTTTGTTCATTTTTAAACTACCCAAGCTGTGCTTTGTAAGTAAGATTTACCATAGTGTAAGTTTTTTAATAGTAAGTGAAGCTGAAGTACATTTTAAATACAGAAACAATGGATGTCTTGCAAAAATTTCATAATGATTTTTTTCAGAGCCAGGCATGTTGAAGAAACTTGAGTGTAGAGACTCTATTTGTATCCATAAGAAATTAAAATACCGCAAAGATGCCTGTCATTGCAACCTCTCTGTCAGCAAGTTGGTGTTTTATTTGTTTTAAATCTATGAAACTCTGTTTGTTTTGTACAGAATAGATACTACAAGAGTAGAATTCACCATTCCTTTAAGAGAGAACTGGGCATTACCATTCTTTGCTGTTCAGATAGCAGCCATCACATACCTACTTAGAACTAATTTACAGCCTGCTCAAGAAGTGAGTATTCCTAACATGTATGACACAGTATAATCAGTATCGGAAAACTGTCTAGAAAACCAAGGACAAAATGATTGATAAGCTCTTATAACAGAGAATATACACACACAAATCACTTGTAATATTGAAAACATTAATCAGATACACCTTCTGTTAATTTAAGTGTAGTTGAATTATAGAGAAACTGAACATGAACCGGCTTCAGTGAGCACTCACAGCGCAGAAACCAGCCACGTACTGGGCTGCATCAAAAGTGCAGGTCGAAGGAGGTGATCCTGCCCCTCTACTCTGCTCTCGTGAGACGTCACTTGAAGCACTGTGTGCAGTTCTGGTGTCCTCAACATAAGAAGGACATGGAGATGTTGGAGCAAGTCCAGAGGAGGGCCACGAGGATGATAAGGGGGCTGGAGCACCTCCTGTATGAAGACAGGCTGAGAAAGTTGGGCCTGTTCAGCCTGGAGAAGAGAAGACTCCGTGGAGACCTTATTGTAGCCTTCCAGTATCTGAAGGGGGCCTACAAGGATGCTGGGGAGGGACTCTTCATCAAGAATTGTAGCGACAGGAAAAGGGATAAAGTGTTAAAACTTTAACAGGGGAAGTTTAGATTAGATAAAAGGAAGAAGTTCTTTACAGTGAGGGTGGTGAGGCACTGAACAGGTTGCCCAAAGAAGTGGTAAATGCTCCAACCATGGCAGTGTTTAGGGCCAGGTTGGACAGAGCCTTGGGCGACTTGGTCTGGTGTGAGGTATCCCCATGGCAGAGGGGTTGGAACTAGATTATCTTAAGAGTCTTTCCAACCCAAACCATTCTATGATTAGCAGCCTTCCAGTATCTGAAGGGGGCCTACAAGGATGCTGAGGAGGGACTCTTCATTAGGGACTCTAGTGGTAGGACAAGGGGTAATGGCTTTAAACTTAAGCAGGGGAACTTTAGGTTAGATATAAGGAAGAAGTTCTTCACAGTGAGGATGGTGAGGCACTGGAATAGGTTACCCAAGGAAGTTGTGAATGCTCCAACCCTGGAGGTGTTCAAGGCCAGGCTGGACAGAGCCTTGGGCGACATAGTTTAGTGTGTGGTGTCCCTGCTCATGGCAGGGGGGTTGGAACTAGATGATCTTAAGGTCCTTTCCAACCCTAACCATTCTATGATTCTATGACTATATGAGTCTGTCCTCAGCAGTGAAAAAATATAAAGGTAAGCTTTGAAGAGTACAAGAGTCCTGTGTATTTAAGGAATCATTAGAGTAACGCAGAGTGGGCAGGAAAACAGCTTGTAAAGCACAAGGATTAAAGAATTTCTTTGGTTTAATTTCCAAATTTAAGAGGTTGTCCTGAAATGCAAGAATAAAAGCTAATAGGTGATATAGTTTCTTTGTTAAATGATTCTTGTGTTATTACTCCTCAATTTGATCAAATAACTGCTATTTATAGTATAGTAAAACATGTATTGCATGTTAATCTGTGAGCTGAAACAGATCTCACCATTGTTTTGCAAGTGTTACTACAGAGGTAAAATACAGGTATAAATACAAGAGTCTGTAACTCAAAAGTATTTGTTACCCTCCAAGCTGTTATTGCAGCTAGAAAACTCATGTAAATGGTTTTGAAATGAACATATTAAGGTGGGTTTCTTGGTTGGTTTTGTTGGGGGGTTGTTTGTTTGGGGTTTTTGTTGGTTTTTTTTTTTAATGAAGGAAACTAAAAAGTTAAATAAAACTTTATTCCCTCCTTCCAGAGATTGACATTTGTGGCTGTATTTATAGCAACATTTCTCTTTAGCCTGACTTGGCAATTTAATCAGTTTATGATGCTGATACAAGCATTGGCATTATTTGTACTAGACTGCTTTGACTTGCTTCCCACAGCAAAGGTAAGATTATGTTTGGAAATAACCTTTTTTTTTTCTCTGTCAAAAAGTTTTGGTGGTGTTTTACTAACCAATGGCTCAGATGCCGAAAGTCATACAGATTATACACTGTACTGCTTTGTGCTTTTAACTAATCACAGTGTATATATACTGCAGGTGTAAAAATGAATCATCAAAGCAACATCATTTCTGATTTTTTTTTCTTTCAGCTGATTTTATTGCTTTACATAATTCACTTCTACTGTTTAATTTTTGGCTAATTGTTTAGACACAGCTGTGGTTTTGCACTATTTGACACCTTTAAATGCCATCCTAACAATTGATCTAATACCATGGTTTGAGCATGTCCTCTGGAAGTGTCCATGGGAAAAAAAAGAACTTTGCCTAAACTGAAGTACTAACAGTGTATGAATTTGGCCTCAAGTATTGTGCATCCCTGTTTGAAAGTTAGTTTTAGGCACTGTGCTACAAAGAGAAGGAAGAAGAAAGATCAGATTGCTCAAGAGAAGCGGTTACCTTTCATATACTGAAATTCACCAAAAAATAACATCCTCACTGCTATGTTGCTGAACTGAATGAGACAAAAAGCGAAACAAGTATAATTAAGTTAAGAAATCATTTGCAGTCAATCCTAGGGACTAGAAATACACTGAGGAAGATTAAAACATTGTCTTTGAATTTAATGTCCCTGTGAAATTGTACCAAGATTATTTTAGCACTCATAGAAGCTTACATTACATTACTTACATTAGCCTTAGCTAATGTAAAGTTACTAAGGTTCTAACTTTACTTTAAGGAAGGTTACAGTAGGATGAAGAGTTGTTCATGTTTGTTTATTTCATTTTAAATTTGAAACAGACTTGAATATTTGTGATTGTATTAATTTAACTGAAAATTAGTATGGTGTCTGCATATTAAGATATCTGTGGTTTATTTAACAGTTTCTAAGCTCTTCATTATATTTGCAAATGTAAAGTGAAGTTAGCAATTAGTGTGACTGATCAGCTACCTTGGAAGTTTGCAAATTATCAGCTTCATCCTGAATTATACGAAAATGGACGTACTGTACTACCGCTATTGCACGTTAATTTTCCAGAAAGTGCTACTTAAACCTCTTGGATCTTGTTGGCACTTTAGATACTGACTTACACCACTGCTGCAATACAAGACTGAACTCAGGATCTTTGTGTCGCATAAGATTGATGTTTTGGTACCATTGTGTCAGAAAATAAGCTGGGTTTTAGTGTCTGCATTCAGGTGAATTAGCATAGCTCAAAAAGGACTGTACTCAACTGTTAGAAAAGAAGTCAGAAAAATCATCTGTTGTCTGACTGCTGGACTGCACTGAGCCATAACTCTTTAGTCATAAAGACATTAGAGACTGCTACAGGAACGCATATTTGATTAAAGAAAATACAAAACATCTTCCAAATACTAAGTTATTAGTATTTCCCTTATTCTGCAATTGTTTAACTTACCTGCTTTATTATAACATCAGACTCCCTAGATATAAAATATTAACCTAACTAGTTCAGGACATAAATATAGAAAGGCTATAGTAAAGGCTTTAAGTGTAATGATTCAGTGCAAGATGATACTTTTTTAAAAAAAAATAATTGATGTTGAAATTAGTTATAAAACATTCAAAGAAAATCAGGTATGACTGTAAAGTTTTTTAGGCATAAAAATCTTACTATTGTTACAGGTTACATGGCTTTATATCATTCAGATTTCTGGATTGCTGCTAGTCTGTGTCTTACAGTTCTTTAATTCTATGATTCTTGGATCATTACTTATAAGTTTTAATGCTTCTGTCTTGATAGCAAGAACAATCCAGGTAGGTACCAAAATATTTTTGTAGTACTAAATAAAGAGTGACATAAATGAGTAGTTTGTCTACATTATAATCTTAAATTACTAATTAGAGGAATTACTATAGCGTAAAGCCACAGAAACATTGCATGATCAAATAATGAATTCAATTACACTAACTGCAGTACAACCAAGCACATCAGACACCATAATTCTGTGATTGCTATTAACTTTTATGACAGTGCAAGCTGCAGTTTGCATCCTGCAAAAAAATTGCATAAATGGACTTTACTCCTGTCTCAGCAGGACTTGTCTTGGATTTGCCTCCATCAGAATATTCTGGATACTTGCTTCTGTGTACATTTGTGCTTACATGAACCTAATATAATCTGATCCTGGTCAGGACTAACAGACAATCTGTTTCAAGTAGTCTTTGTTGCTTTTGTTCTAAATACATGTAAATTTACTGAAATACTAATATTTTGTTCCAAATACGTACCAAAAAAGTACTGAAATACTAATATTTTCTTCTTTCTAGAAAAACCTAAAAAAGGGTCCCTTGCTTAATAGGCTTGGGAAACTTATCCTCCATGTACTATTAGTCTTGTGCTTGACTCTCCTAATAAATAAATTTATCAAGGTAAGCAAATATTCCTTACTATAGAAGCTTAACTAAATGTATTACATTAAAAGCTATTTGTTAACTATCTATCGTAAAACTATTAAATAAAAATTGCAAAGAGATTTCACTGCATTTCAGAGACTGTGTTTTGGAAATGAAAGATTGTTTTGCTGATCTTCTTTGGTATATGGGTTTTTAAACGTATTCTTAAAACATCATAAATTAACATCAAATAATGGAATACCTATTTGTAACTTGAAGCTCACTGGTAATTTTGTAACAGATGGAGGTTATACTGCATCCTGATTCTGCTAAGCATTTTCAAAGTTTTTAATTAAATTTACTTTTCAAAGAATGCACTTAAAAATGAATACTTGTTATAAAAATTTTGTAGACCATGCCATACTTTGAGTTGCTTCTTGTGCACAGACCTGTCTGCAGACATTCGTGACTGTAATACTTCTGCTTCAGAGTTTTAGTCTTTTCAAGAGATCTGTTTCAACAGATTAAAATTTAGTACACGTGGAAATTAAAAGTAAGATAAGGTAAGTAAGTCATTGAAATAAAGAGTACAGCAAAAGCCAACTTGTCCTGGAAATTCTTTATCTGTAAATAAGAAGCTAACCCTAGTAGATACTCTAAAAAGTAAGTAAGTAACTTGCCGTTTGGACCACAGGACCATAATTACAAACTGAATGCTTGCTTGATTGCAGAACACCCTATCTCAGTAAGCCTGCGTTGCTACACAGTTTCATTTGAATAATGAAAAAAGATGTTTATTGTGTGAAGCTTAATTTTTTTGATACTTAAAATATAATTGCCTTTCTTTTTCCCCTCCTTTGTAGAAAATTCTTAATCTTGAGTCAGATGAACATATATTCAAATTTCTGAAAGCAAAATTTGGATTTGGGGCAACAAGGTATGAATCAGCTGCAATTTTGCTTTCTTGTAGGACTCACTAAGTGAAGCCTGCAGGTTCTTCTCATTTAAAATCTTGGTGATAAATCATGGATTTTTACTGCATGTTTATATTGTGTATTTTCCTTCGTAATAATCTGCATAACTCTGGCTTTCTAATTTCTTGGAATAAAGGAAACTTTGGTCCTTTTTGACATCGAGTTATGAAATATTTGATGACATGGATTATTCTTTTTTCTTTAGAGATTTTGATGCTAACCTGTATCTTTGTGAAGAAGCTTTTGGTTTACTACCATTAAATACTTTTTCAAGACTCTCGGATACATTACTTTTTTACATCTACGTGTTTGTTCTCTTCTTTATGACAGTAGCAGCTGTAATTGTTGCCTTTCGGAACCTCAGGTAAAATACATTCTTAAAATAATTCACATTTTTATCAGTTTTTGGACAACAGGCTAAGGAATACAACAGTTTAATACAGCAGAATAGAGCATTACTTCCCACAGGTTCTAAAGAAACAGCAGGGAATGTAATAGAGAGATCAAGTAACTTCTTATTAAAGCTAAAAATGTAAAGGATGTTATGAGGCTGAAGCAAAGAAACATTTTTCCCTAGATTCCTTTTATCTGCTGTTGAAGTTTTGCAATATGTGTAGAGTTGGTTGGATTTTGGTGGGGAGAGGGGAAGCAGGGCAAGAGTGTCTTTATAGAAAACAACATTAGTTTCTTTTGTTCATCCCATTTTCCCTGATCAAAGCATTCCCAATGAAAGATTTCCCTGGTGGTACTCTCAAAGTGCCCAGAAATGAGCTAGGATAGTCTGTACTGAACTTGTGTGATCTGTGTGAAGAAGCAGGAATGGTAGACTGCAACTGTGCATCGCTGCTGCCAGTTCCTCTGGCTGATCTGTAGGTCTTGGAGGAATTTACAGAACACTAGAAGAAAATTAGTACTGAACTGTTATTTAAAGAAAAAAAAAAGTAAATGGTTCATTACAGACATCCCAGTTTTGCATTTACAACCTGTGCAAAAGTTAGGATGGATGATAGATAATTTGGTTAAGCAAAAATTCAGGGCGTTTCAAGGAGTATCACATAACTAATGCCACTCATCCTAGATTTTGTGGAGAACAGGATAAAAGGGGAGGAGAGACAGGGGAAGGGAGAGGGAGAAATCCAAGACATGCTGAAGCTCTGTTGTTAATTGTGAAGTCATAGTTATCTGTAAGACGTTTTGATACTATTCAACCAGTCACTTAAAAAAAACCTTACTGCATCAATCAATGTTCAAAACAAAAGGCCTTACAGCTCTTATTTTCTGTAGTTCTAGATATAATCTGAAACGTTACCCTGATTTTTGATACTGTCCAGTTATCTCAGTTACCCCCATGTGAAAAATACAAGTTAAAACCCCACATCTTTCAGCATTTTTTGTTTTTTTATCAGCCCTTCACATACATTCACAAGACTGGCCACCTCAAGCAATAACCAGTCCTTTCAGCACTTCTTTGCTGTAAATTTACTTCCAATTTATGGCTGTAATAGCATCCAGATATACCAGTAAAATCCCGCAAAACACAGTTAAGTTCTTCACTCTCATCAAAAGCCCTGTGAAACCTGTGGGAATAACTGCTTCAAGCAATAAACCAACCATACCTTTCTCTAAACAATTTTATCTCATTCTAAACCAGCTCATTTACATCTGTTGCATTTCCAGAAAACTAGGTATGAAAATAAATACCTGGTGCTGCACCAAACTGGTGCTGTCATCGGGCTTAATTTTGTCTGATACAGTAGAAGATTGTGCCTTCTATATGTGAACTGCTAGCAGTACTATTGCTCATTAGCATCGGAAGGATTAAATACATTTTAAAATTCAGACAACTGTGTGAAATACCCTACAGAACTTCATATAACACTTCTTACTTCTTCTGTTTAATTAGTGGTTCAAATCAAGTCCAGTTGATGGAAAAAATGGGTGAATGCACAATAACACTGAAGCCTGATGCTGCTTACAACTTGATTCACACAGTTCTTTTTGGATGTCTGGCATTAAGCACAATGAGGTATAGTTTTTTTAATTCTACTGAAGGCTTTTTAGATGATTGAGTGTATTTTTTAAGAGTCTAAAATATGCTGACCACAAACTGATCATCAAACTGATCATGAACCTTCTTTCTTTCCCTGGTGTGTTTCTGCTTGTAGACTGAGGCATTTCCCAAAATTCTGCTGAAAATAATGTTTCTAAGTTTGGGAGCAGAGATGCTCTCAAGAGCAAATAACAAAGTGCATAAATCTTTTACTCAGTTATTTCAGAGTCCTGAAAGTCCAAGACAACTGTGTTCAGAATTTCTCTTAACTGCTGTCATCAACACAGCTTAGCAGAGCTTCAGATGATCAGCAAAAACTTGTCTGTCCTCTTCCAGAATGAAGTACCTCTGGACATCCCACATGTGTGTATTTGCATCTTTTGGCCTGTGCAGTACGGAAGTGTGGAAGCTTGTCCTGAAGTGTATTCATCTCTACACATCACAGAGGGTTAGCACTATACTTAAAGCATTTCATGAAATGTGGGTTTACTCCATATCTAGACCAAATTAAGACTCTGAATTCTAAGACGTCTGAAATGAATCTTGTTTGTAGTTTGTATCCCCCTAAACTGGATATCTCTGAAGTACATTTGTTTAAATTTAGTAAGTGAAATGTATTTTCTAATGGTTTATCTATTAAACAATTTATATACTAAACAATTCCATTTGAATACACTAGATGGCAATGTAGATGTGGCAATGAAAAATAACCACAATTTTACTACAAAAGTTTAGTCACCATATTAAGAAACATCAGTGGTCTGATGAGACCTTTACAGCCCATTATACTGAATGATAGTATATGGATATAAATCCATCATTTGTGATGGGTCTGTGGTAAGGGTTTTACTTGAAAACAAAATCAGAACATGGTCTTAAAATTCAAACTGTAAATTCCACCATGTGATAAATATGTCAGATATCAATAAATTAAAATCAAGTCTATCCAAATAAATGTATCATCAAAATAACCAATCTTTTTTCTTTTTTTGCAATTTCTTAGATGCACGTGATGAAGTATTCCATACCAATAATTACATTACTATACATTTCATATAAGGTAAGACAATTTTTTTCCTGCATGTTCTGGCTTTTTTTAGTTACGTTCAGTTTTCCTTTTCTCCAAGAGAGAAGTTGTTCTATAGGTAATTGCATACAAGATTTGTGGCTGAATTTTCAAAATTGGGATAACTTACCTGAAGTGAAAGTGCCTTTATGTATATGAAATTGTATGTAAAGGATCAGTTGGGCTCATTTGATCTAAAGTAATGGTCCATAGATACAAATGTTTGTCTGATTGTGTAAGTTACCAGGTGTTATTTAAATGCATAATTTTATGGAAATGTAAGTTGTCTGTTTGGGTTTGTAAGTTGCCTGTTTGGGTTTTCACCCTGCAGGTAAGATGCAGATTGTTAAATTGTGTAATGATTAATTATAGCAGCAGAAATAATCATAACATACTATATGTTATGTGCTGTGCCTCTTGCCATGTGTTTTAAGTTCAGAATTGTTAAATTTGTCAAGTACTTTTGTTACCTTCATGTCCCAAGAACAAATTATTATCGTTAAATGTTTAAATGTACATACATAAAATATATTTAAAATAATAACATATACAAGATTATTAGTCTGACAGTCTGTCATAGTAGTGAGATTTAGAACATCAACTTAATGGGCATACCATTCTTTTAATCTGTATTTACAAAGATTGAAAATTCAGATGCTACTTCGGTGGAGAGCTTACTTCTGCGATACCTAGTGTGAGATGAGAATACTTCTGTTAAATAATTGCCTTCAGGGAAAACCCAAGGTGAATTTCATTATTAAAGTTAAACAGGCAGTTGTAACGCAGTTAAGAAAGCTGCTAGTAGAGTTCACTAAAACTCTAAACAGTGAAACTAAAATTCAAAAAAGACTGTTTAATAAAGTTACAGTGACGTACTCCACTTAAATTTTCTTGTTACTCTATTTTTAGAGGAGTTTTTAGTTTGTTTTGGGGGTTTTTGCCATTAGTATGCTGGTTAGGGAAGTCATTTACTTTTTTTATCATCTCTGAAAATGATAGAAATAATGCCATTTCTCTTCACACAGGTCATGCGAAGAGCATGACATTCTAATAGTCTCATGTGAGAGATCAACTAGGAAGAATTTTCCTCCCACTCTTCATAAGCAGATAGGAAGTTCCTAAATCAGATTCAATTCTGAAGTCAACAGAAGTCACTGATTTTCATAGGCTTTAGATCAGGCATGAGTTGTGCTCAGTCTGCCTCAAAAGCATCATTTTTGTGTTTCTTCTAAATACAGGAAATAATTTTTATTGACATCAGAAGTGTCATTTTTCAAAGTGCTCAGTGGAAATAAAGAAGTACTTCACCTCTCAGCATTTTTTATTGTCTTAAGTCATTTTTTGCAGTTCAGCTGCCAGGGGAGTGGATATGTTTGTGCCAGTGCCTCTTCTTTGAACCTGCAAGAGTTAGTGAGCTTTTTGATTCATTATGGGCCTTCATAGTCTCATTTCAAAATTGCTTAATTTATTTACTCATCTTTCAAGTGATCTTCTGAAGAGCAGAAATGTCTGTTATAGTACTACTGCCCCAAACTCTAAGGTTGTGATATTGCCATGACTATACTTGAGGTGTTTCTCAACCAGTATTACTTTAACAAATGTACCAAGTAAACAGTTAAACTATTAAGTATCTGAGTTGGCCCAGTTATATCCCCTGCTCCCCAGTCCTCCTACATAATACAGTTTTAGGAAAAGAATGCACGTTTTTGCTAAGTAGCTCAGCAGCATCACATTCTAATTCCTTCTGATCTCTTGGATGAATATTATCTAAATTGGATGAGTTTAGATTTATCAGGCATGTTTTCTTACACTTTCCTATGACATTTCACTTTACAAGCCAGCAATCCTTGTTATCTAAAGAAAACAGGTCTGGAATAGGTGCTCTGTAACATCCTCTGTGATAAAAACTGATGCAAAGCAATCAGCCATTAGCATTGTCATTATCTCTCTTAATTGCTCCTTCTTTGCCCTTGACTACTCACTAGCTTAAACAACAAGAAACCCTTAAAAAAATCTTTGTTCTGTTAGCTTTTTTTAAGGGGGAGAGAGGGTTAAGCTTTTCAGAAATCAGTTTCAATCCTTAACTCTCTCCTCCAGATAGGATTTATGTATTCTTGGTCTCCAGTAAATTTTGAAATGCTTTCTGCCCACCCCCTGCGCTTCCACCCAGCAGCCTATTGAATGTTACCATTCAGTCACACTTTTCTTTTTTCCTTTAGTGGTTCTTTTTAATTCAGACTTCTGAAATGCCATTCATGGCACCCACAGCACATCTGATGATTCTAACTTCCGATATGGATTTCCTAGCAATATAAGGTTTGGTCTTGGGTTGTTTTGGTTGGGTTTTTTTTGTTTATTATTACATAGTTGTAAGCTGCCTTTCCAGACTTAATATTAGTTCCTGGGGTGTTTCCTTCTCCTGTAATCACAGGCATTATTTAATGGCTTGGCTGTTACATACTGGATTCTTACATGATGTCTTTTTATCTTGTTCTTTAAAGCTTGGTCAGTCAAGAAAAGACTTAAAACATTAGCATTCACCCTGTAGTCCAGGGAACTGAAATGGTTCACTTGTAAAGTAGATGCAATGCACAACAGTCATATTCAGTGGCAACTTTAATTTCCCATCGATTTTAAGAAACAGACTAATCTTAATTAATAGAGTTCTGGAAACCTCCAATGAGATACGCATCTGAGAAAAGCTGTTCTTCCAAGGCTCCCCACCACAGGTAGTTCTGTTCCTTCTGGTCATCTGGCAGGAGCTGCAGATCTCAAACTCTGAAATTGTGTATTCATACTGTAATGACAGCCACTGAACCTTCGTAAGAAGGGTGGATACACTTATCTCTTGCAGCTCATCCAGGAGCTGGATCAGTTACCAGCTAAGAGGAAATAATGTTTCATCATCGAGGACTTGGTTTTGTTCATTCTGTCTTCAGTTGTTTTGTTTTGTTTTCATTATAGTTCTGGCCAGGAATAATGGATGAACTGTCAGAGCTGAGAGAATTCTATGACCCAGACACTGTGGAGCTGATGAACTGGATTAAGTAAGAGGATTTTTTCTCTATTTAAGTTAAAGGCTATTTGTGTAGATCTAATGTTCTTAGTTATAGTGTTCTCCTTATTTGTCACAGCTCATCAATGAACTCTGGTGACCCACGGAGATAGTTAAGGATGGATGGGCTATCAAAAGGTTAGGTATTAATGGCTGTGGAGAACAGCTACATGCAAAGGCCCCCAGACTGCTCTCTTCTGGTTCAGTATCATGCTGCTGTATTGCATGTGTATCAGGGAACCAGTTGACTACATTTTCTCCCATAAGTACACATAGTTTTCCCACCTGAAAGAGGAAAATTTGGGGGCGTCAAGCTTTTTCTATCATATTATAGCTACCTCTTTACATTGATAGACCTTGGCAGTGAAATAATTTCATTTTTACCCCCCACCCCATGTATAGATGTAGGGCTGGAAAATCTGTACCATACAGTCTGTTTGTCGAACTTTAAAACAATCTCTATTATTTATATTTAAAAGAGTTAATCCCAACTTATGTTCTAAACTGTAAACAAAATATTTGTAATTAGACTTGAACTTGCCACAGCTAAGCATAGGAGCAAAGTCCCTTTCAGGAGTGTAAGTTAATCATTCCAACTCTACCTCGTCACTTCTGCTTTCTCACAGAACACAGGAAGGTATTCTTAGGTGGAAACAGTTTGGAATACTGCATTTAGAGGATCCTGAGAAAAAGGGCCAGATAGGTTGTTCTCTGGAGGATTGCGAATTTAAGGGATATGTTCTCTATTAATATAAAACCTTAATATAAACCACTAAAACCTTTCAGATTAAGTTCTGAACAGAGATATTCCTGGGATGTGTATTTATTTGGAACCCTGACAAAGTTTCATGTTCTGGAGGAAAACATTCTGCAAGTAATTCTGAATTCACCACATTTAATATTGAACTAGTTGGAGTATTTCCTTGAAGCCCTATATTGTGCTTTCATATGCAATGAGCTGCAAGGAAAACAGTCATCCAGCCTATTCTACCTGTAGCAACATATTTACAGTCCATAATGTTGTATTTCTTTAATCCATAAACTAGAAAGAGTAATTTAGAAGTAAAATGTATTACAAGTTTTGAATGACTCATTTTGACAGCAAGCCATGGTTTTTTTCGTCATTTACAATTTTTGCAGCCATTTTGACACCTTTTTATGACTAATGTTTACCAGCCACTTCCATTTAGCACTACTGTTTTATTAAAAGATGGTAAATGCCTGATAGTTCAGGTCTCCTGTGTACAATATGTAGAGTTATATATGGATTTATACATAAAATATCCATGTGGAATTATTCCCAGCCATGGACTGGATTTGACTTCATCCAGTGAGAATAATTTTTCATATGTTCTTAGTGCTGAGAATGCTAAACTGGTGCTTGTCCCCTTTTCATTTTAAGTCATGACAGGCCATTATAGAGGGAAATTTTATACTTAGAATTTATTGTGTTTAGAAGTATTATTCCTGTAAAGAAGAGTTTAATTATCTGTGCTTCAAATACAAGTCAACAAAATTTATGGTAAGTTTCTCAAAGTGGGACAGATTTTCTTAAGTTTTGATGTGTAAGAAAAATATTTTACTATACTAACACTTGATGGTTCTGCTGCAGTTAATGATCTGTCAAGGTTGGTGTCAGGAACTAATAATTCATTATTAAAGCTCAGTATGAGAAGCTCTAATTTGTCATGTATAACAGTGAATTAGGAATAACTCATCTGTCTTGCAATCTCTCCACAACAAGAAAACTCTCCTATCTGCTTAGATCTAAATGCATATTAACTTATCCAAATATACAATCTGAATAATAGCCAACTGTTAGTCTGTCCACTGGCAAGTGGCTGCAGATGTATTTTTCACTCTTCCCCTTACTAGAATCACCAGAGCATTTTCAGGAAGATATATTCATTTAGATCTCTACAATAAAGTTACTGCAAAGTATGGGACTGCAGCTATTGCAGAGTGCAATTTTTTACCCAGTGGTCTTGTACATCCCCGTCTCTTGCTTTTTCCTACCCACCACCTCATTTTCTTAGATTTTTTTTTTTTTTTTTAAAAAAAAGTCAAGAAGGTCCTGCAGTGACCCAGGGATAGTTCACAGCTGTGTTCCCAGATGGGAGGTACATTAAAATTCTTAGTTTTGGTCTTTCTCCCTAAGACAACAGGAACAACATGCTCATTTGTGAGATGGGGAAGAATATCAGTAGAATGAGCAAATCAGTAGCGTGAACTTCCCTACTCTGTTTACTTCTGGTAAGTGTTTAAGAAGCAATGTCTTCTGCCTTTAAAGGGGAAACCTGTCTAGAATCGTGGAATATTTCATTAGCAGTTACCAAAAATCATAGAAAAACTTCTTGGAAATCTCAGACAGCAGCCAAAACAGTGGGAAAGCTAACTAAGACTAAGATTTGGCACAGCAACTGTCTGTGGGGGTCAAGCAGGCAAATTTTTATATTAGTGGGAACCCCACAAATCTCAAAAAAGCTCTTAAGGTTACCAAAATGGAATACCCATGTTTTAATGGTGGTTCTTTCATTTAGTAATTTATATTAATGGCTGTATTTTAATTTCAAGACAGCTATAAATTTTAACTCTTCACTCTTACTTACATGCCTGATTATCAAGGATATTCACACTGAAATCAACACATATTCCAGACTTTAAAGGCAATACTACACTTTTTTAATTATTGTTCTTAAATTTTTCGGCTTATCCTTTCTCATTGACTGATTTGTCAGTAAAATTCAGGCATGAATTTGATAGTGCCTGAGATCTAGGCTTATTCCAACTGTGTAGGTGCACTCCGTTATGTGAACAAAATATGCATGCATAGAATTGAGGCTGGGACTAACAAAAATGCATCTTGTTGCTCTTTCTTTGTGGCTGTTGTTTTCCATTTTTGCAATTTTCAGTCATTCCAAACCAGAGGGAAAAAAAAGAACCATGACAGTTTTACTGAACATGGTTTACTGCCTATCATTTGCAGCTAAACCTGTAATACTTTAATACAGCATTCTGCAAATAAAAAGACTTTCTTTTAAAGAAGAAAAAATCTAACACGGCATATGTGAGAATTCCTTTTCAGTATTTCCTTTTCCCAAACCCCTTTGCTTTGTAAAATTCCTATCACGAACAGGCACTAGTGAAGGAATAATCTGAGATTTGTCAGAATTTATGGCCTTTAAAGCAACTACAGAGTTCACCTTTGCAGGACTTTTTGAAAAGAAATAGCCATTTTATTTCTAATGACATAACCTGTAATAGCAACATTGTAGGGCTTCCTTAAAACCAACTCAGAATAATTCTTAACCTACTTAAGAAAAAGACTTACTACCACTTTTAGAGTCTGTGCAAGTAGTTCTTGTAAAACCTTTTTAATTTAAATGAGTTATTCTTTAGTATTCATATAATTCTCTAGATTCTTAAGTGCAGGTGAAGAAAAGCTTCGTACAACGAATTATAGTGCTTAGTTTACCCATTAGTTCAGCTGTAATTAACTTGTTGAAAGCTTAGAGCTCCAAAAATAAATGAGATTATTTGTTCAAAATGCCATCAGGTCTGCTTGGAATGACATTTAAATTATATAATGTAAATCAGTTTGACCTGTAAGTCCTTGTCATTATTTAGTGACATTTCATACAGAATAAATTGTTTGCAGGTTGGGCAGTATGGTATGGAGCTTGGCAGAAAGCTATAAAAACAAATTATCCTTTCATTTTATACATCATTTCTTCAGACATTTGTAAAAATTGCTTCGTTTTTCTGTAATAGAGAGGTGTCGGTCAGTGGTTTGAAGCACATTAGCTGCCTTGGATACAGACCACAGTAGTTAGGGGCTGATTTGGGTAGGAGGATTGGAGAAGGATGCTTGCATGAACTGTAGAAATTATCCCATACCAGAAAAATATTAATTAATTGTCATACCTTCTTCTGGTGGCTGTTGCAGAAGGTAAAGGCTCAGTAACAGCCACCAGTTGAAGCTCTTTAGGATGTAACTTAAGGAGGGCAGACATTGCATGAAGCTCAGTGTCACCACCCAGCTTCCAAGCAGTGAAATCTGCTGCCAGGTTTGTGTCCTCGGCTGCTGGTGGTGGCACACATTGGTCTGGGAACCATTCGAGCTGGGCTTCTGTATTTCTAATGCATTTTTATTGCAAGTTATGGAAAAAGGGCACTGTCACCATTTCCTCTAGCTTTCCTTTGTAAGAAAAGAGGCTGCAGGCTGTTTTCTTGGGAATGGTTTTTCTTTGTTTTCTTGTGGTTTTGCCTTTGGTACTTGTGATTTGGTTTTTTTTAAGGAAGTCTGATTCTGCACATTGGCATTGTATTGGGTTCTTCAGGAGCCAGAGGTGCAGGACTGCTTTGGTAAGGCCCTGTCAGGAGATCAGTACTGCAGAGCATTGCAGAACTTGAGATAATCTTGACCAAACACAGAAACAGACTTTACACACTATTAGTTTTATAAATTGCTGAAAAACTAGTCTATTGGTCAAGTTAAACTGGCCTATTAAAAATACTCTCCTCATCTTTCCTAGATGAGATTAATGTACCGCTGCAAGATTTTTTAAGAAGGGTTTGTAGTTATTAATGGATTTGCTAAGGATAATCTCTTGAAAGGCAATAGTAAAATTTAATACTTGTCCCTGAACATGTTCAAGCCAATTGTGGAGCATAAAGAAGACTGAATATGCAGCTGCAGTTTCAAAAGGCTCCCTAAAGTCCACCCCAAAGTGTCTCAGTTCTGTGACCACTGTAAGATACGGGCTATATGGGCACATCTGTGGATATCAGGCAACTCTTCACATTCCTTTCTAATTTCATTTTACTTGATTTATTGAATGCTTTCTGTTCTTTTAGTCTTCATAGGATCTTTCGTGATGGTACGCCTATTATGTGCTGGAAAACACTCAAGCATACTATGAGCGTTTTAATTAGCCTGATTATAGTAGTCTCTGGTGCCCGGCATTTTTACTTTATCTTCTTGCTATGCCCTTCTGGTGTGTCTTTATGTATATTTTAGATTGAAAAATTGGTGGGGGGAAGGTGAGCAAAAAAATACTATTTTCCTTATGGGTATTTAAACAGTCCTGAGATACCAAAACACTTACTTAAATAACAATTCTAGACACTGGCATTGCATTTCCGATGAGATCACAGGACTAGTAATTGACAGTACCTGGCATCTTATGCACCCACCACCCTACTTTTTGCAACAGGGGTGACCTGTTTCATAATTTCCCTCCCCTAGTTGTCACAATAGGAGGATTAATGTCTCACATAGCAAAGTTTTCACTCCCAAGTGAATGGTGAATGCCAGGACAGTCAAAAGAAGTTTTAAGCATTCAGATTAAATAATCCGTTTTATATAGAATACCTTACATATCAGACACAAATCTAAGTCACAGTAAGTTTCTTTAAATGTAACAAGAACTAGGATGTAGACATTTACAAATACTTAGAGGCTGTATGAACCCAAGGAATATATAAAATATGGAAGTAGTTTGAAATTCTCAGGATGATGTTTCCTGATAGTGCACAGTAAATTTTTTATTTGCAGTTAAGAGTATTACCATGATTTGTCCTCTTCGTATCTGAAGAAATACAGTTTCTTGAACAGTTTGCTCCCCGAATAGAGGAGAAGCAGAAAACTATTTTTTCAATCTTTTTTTTCCTTCTGATGTGTAGCAAGCAATGCAAAAATGCTCCTGCAGAGATTTCCTCAGCCTTATCACCATTTGTTTAGGTCAAACACTCCAAACACAGCAGTGTTTGCTGGGAGCATGCAGCTATTAGCAGGAGTCAAACTGTGCACTGGACGGACCCTGACTAATCACCCCCATTATGAGGATAAGAACCTGAGAGAGAGAACAAAACAGGTAAGAGTATTCTAATTGTTTAAGCTAATTCTTAACCATAGCAGTGGCTCCATTCCAGAAAACACATGCAATCTCTAACGGCAGGTTGCAAATGAAATGACACCATGTGCTTTACTCACTGAACTAACTTATTTCCAGATACAGTTCCAGGATTTAACTTCTGTGAAACTTGTACTTCAGGCATCTGCTAACTCACTTCAGGGAGCTGGTGTGTGTCAGAATAACTGTAATAAGGTACTCCAGCTAGTCCTAAGTGGGCTGGTTTAGGTGCTGTTGGCGTTAATAGATCCTGCTGCCCAGATTCCTCCTGCTGCCTGGAGGAAACACAGAGCATTTCCTCATTTCCCTGATACTCCCTTCAGTTTCCAGATCAGCACATAACATTTTTATACAGAAACCATGCTGAGAAACTCCACACCAGCTAGGGGAGATGGTTCTGAACTATCCTTTCCTCTAATTTAGACATTCTGAATGTTTTACTGGCATCTACCAAGGCCTTTCTGCAGACAACAGCACCATTCAGCGCTTTTGTAGTCAGCAGCTCTACTGTTGGGCATCACAGTAGCAATAAAACAGAAACTCCAAGTGCCTACTAAATGAAGCATTTAGTTATTATTATTTTTAAATATTTAATTCCAATCACATGGATTTGCAATCTCAGTTCTTCCTTTAGTTCAAGATAAAGGAATCATGAAAGAGCAAAGAAATAGTGGTGACGTTATGTATTTTACAGCTCAGTTTTCTTCTTCTATAGATTTATCAGATCTATGCCAAGAGATCCCCTGAAGACGTTTATGGAATACTGCGCTCCTTTGGCACAGACTACGTCATCCTAGAGGACAGCATTTGCTATGAAAGACGACACAGTAGAGGCTGTCGGTTACGTGACTTACTTGACATAGCTAATGGCCATGTAAGTATTATGTACAAGAGTAATAAAGAAAATACACTTCACTCCTTCTTGAAATACACTTATGATTTGAAGTAGCTCGCATGATTTTCACTTCATGAGTGTAGGAAGTAAAATCTAATGGAGCCTTAGACTTTCTCAAAAATGGCCAAATTGAACACCGCTTGCTTTGGTTGTATTTGATAAGAAGGAGGAATTCAGCTTAGGCAAAATAAGTCATCACTTCTGATGTGCTCCAGGTCAGCAGTACACAAATAGTGTTCCCTTTCAGAGTGCAAATCACTTCAGAACTTTAGCTCCCTCAGGACAGTTGTATTACTCCATTGCACCTGGGGATTTTTTAAGTATTTCTGGGACTAACACAGACCCACAGAAGACAGCATAGCCCAAAGCACATAGGCACATCTGACAATTATTACATGTAATAGAGAGGACACTGTATAAATCTTAGTGTTTTAATATTGTTTTCTTCCTCCCACTTGTTTCATACAGTTGCTGGTGACAAATTTGGCCACCCTTACCAAATGTATTGTCAAGGTTGTTTTCCACTTCTTGTTATTGCCTGCAGTTGTAAATTGACTAAAGACATTTCACCAACCTGTTCAATTTCATTACAGATCATGGATGGTTTGGGAGAGAATGAACCTGATTTGAAACCTTCAATGTATCCTCGCTTCTGTGAGGAAATTAAAAAAAACCTGCCTTCGTACACCACACACTTCATTAGAGTGTTTCAAAACAAAACATTCCATGTTTACAAGCTTGCTAAGCATAAATAACATTCCCAACCCTGGCTTTGAGCTCAGTATTTTAATGCTAGGACCCACATTAGAAGATGCAGAAGTTTACAAACACATTATATTTGTAAGACATTCTACATTGATGGTTTCTTGTTTAATTACTGTGATTTATTTTTTTTAGACAGTTTAGTTTTGATAACATTCCTGATGTTGCCAAAAGTTTCATAGATTCATAAATAAATGCTAGCAGGGACCATTTTGATAATACAAAGTTTTCCAGTTTTAACTGACTGATAAAACACACTGAGCAGCCTGCTGACCACTGCTGTGTGGCTGACCAGCAAGTTCTGCTCAGCAGTTCGGATTTTTACTCTCAATTCAATGGGAGCAGGCCATGCTACTCTGGTCCTGAGGATGCATTATCTTTGTGAATCCTGAAAACAGTCACAGAAATTAAGTTTTTTCTTACAATCTGATCCTCTTCTGGCAGATCCTTGTGCTCTTTCAGTGCCTCTTTTTTGAATTTTTTGGGAATGTTTGTGGATATGAGTTTCTGAGTGCAAGTGTAGTAACGTTAAGCATTTCATGATGGAGTGTTACGTATTTCTAATGAGAATGAAGGTTGGAGCATGCTTGATACATGTTGCATGTTTGTATCCTCGTAAAATGCTCAGAACAAACAAAACCCCAAATTTCTCAGCGTGGATTCTCACAATGCTGTTTTCTGTATATGCTTTCTGAACTACAGGGGATCCTTTTTCTCCGTGTCTGAATTCCAGTAGGCTACCAAAATTGAACACTGCCAACCTTAGAAAAGAAAAACTCATCTCTAAAATCAGCAGGGAACTTAGGCTTTGCTTTATGATATTTCAGACACGAAGCTATATATTTTAGCACAAAATCATTGTGTCCTTGTTCTTTAGCCTAGAAGAGGCTACACTTATTTTAAATTGACTTAGAAGATTCAGTGAAGACAGGCTCAATCCTGACAACTTCATGATTTGTTTGTACCCTTTGTCTTTTTACCAGCTGGAACTTTGTGAATTGTATTGACTTTCTAAACGCTCTGTAGATTACACATGACTTTTGCTGTGGTTTAGCACTGCTTTGGTTTTATATTGAAATTAGACATTAAATCTGATTGAAAGCCTAACAGTACTCTCAAACTTTAATTAGACATCCACTAGGATCATTTGTTTCTTAAGAAAAGCAGAATTGTAATAATCAAGTGCCTCTAAGCCAATGTTGAATTAACATTTGAACACCTATAAGAGTGTTTGTGGCCTGTGCAAATAACTCAGTTATAATCATTACCACTGCAATTAATTTCTAATGATGGGAAACTTAAAGTGCTATGATAGCAAACCCCACATTTAATTTAATCAGGATGTGTAATGAGATTAGCTTTCACAACTGAGCTGTGTTCCAGTTCCAAATGATTTAAGTGTTTTCCCTTTTCAGTTGTGCTGAGGTAAATTACTGAAGCAACAGAGATGCTTATGTCACATGCTCAAACAATTCTTTATTCGGTAAATACCCATTAAATAATGTTCAACATCTTTCTGCACTTTCATGCTAACACAGAAGTGTGCTTTAATCAGACTGTATTTAAATCAAACATTGAAAGTAGTGAGGTTGTTAAACTGAGCAGCTGAAACTCCTGAGTAATTTCTAGCCTGTGTCCCTTATTGAGGTTGGAGACCACTGCAGTTTAACATAATGCAATAATAAAACATTCTAATCAGTATTAAAACTTTAATTAGGCCTGTAATGATGCATGCCTGCTCTTGCTGAAAGCATGGGTCAGTGAATTCCTCGATGAGTGCCTTACAGTAATTGAAAAGAAGCACACGTAAGGTAAAGTATCTCCAGGCTGTATTGTCTCACTTTAAAATGTGGTTGTATCTTTCTTTAAAGGTGCAGTAGCTCTCCTCTGAGTGAAATGACAGATTCCAAGATCCAGTGGTACCCATATCGCTTTCAGAGTTTACTTGTAGGTAACACACGAGAGACTAAGTCTTGACAAAAACAGTAAATATTTTTAAATAGACTTTTTTCCAAAACTACAGTCTCTAATGTTACCGAAGGAGAAGTTTAACCTTTTTGTATAAACTACCAAGTGCAAATTGTTTCGTTTTAAAACAAAACAGTCCCCAGGCTCCCGCTGGCCTTGGGCAAGCATAAAAACCAATGGCCATTACCATCCAGAACCACCGCAGTAACACTGTTTCTTCTTGGAACACAAACTTCCCCCCCAAGTAGCACACTGGAAGTTTGAAGTATGATACACAAAATATCATGGAGATTGTCTAACTCTTGCAGTTTGCAGTACTTAAAGCCTCGTGTCACGGCTGTCAGCACTTCTAAACAACCCCAGCAGTTCCTGAACCAGAAGGAAGTAATACTGAAGGGAAGGGTGTATTTCAGTGACTGCATAGTGCAGCGGTCAGACCAGGCTCCTTACAACGGTAGAATAGAAAATAACAAGAAGTAGAACCATTCACCAGCTCAGAGGAGAACAACCCAGGCATCAAGGCAGCACTGGAGGAGAGGGAGCAGCTGTTTCTCTGGCCTTCATTTAGGGGCTGGCCAGGGCAAGGTGCTAACTCACTTCTGATGGGGCTGTAGTGCCTGCTATAGAGGTTCCTGTGAGAGTCTCAGGCTCCTAGGAGGTAGGTGGTAGTTGTCTAGTAACTATTTTCTCTACTTCTCATGTCTTGCTGTGATCTCTGTTCAGTGCATTAAAAATGTGCCAGTTTTTGAAGAATAATGTCACCTATTCCTGAACTGCATCCCCCTGGAGCACCTTACTTCCAAGCAGTTGCTGCAGTGTCCCCATTTCATTGTATTACCTACGATTCTCATGGCAACATATTTGCTGAAGTCTTACACATGACTAAGCAATGGGAAAGGCACCACTGTGACTCCTGGTGTGTCCCTATTGTCCATGAGGACTTTGAAGCTGTGCACTATCGGTGGAAGTGTGGTATAAATTACTCTTTTTAGATCACAGAGACAAAATATTATCAAGTAGCCGGAATATTTTTAGGGGAGAAAAGCCTTTGAGATCCATGAGTGTGTTTTCATTTCTTGTTTTAGTGTTCTGCTGTTGAGATCTAACATAGTTATTTTATAATATGTTATTGTAAAGAGATGTAATGACTATTGTATACTAAATAAATTGTGTAGTTTGAAAAATCACTTTTTGGGTTGGTTTTATGTTGGGATGGACTGGAAAAAGTGCACTGAGGGCATCACCTTCGCTTCTGTCCGTATGAAGGAAAGCAAGGCATTTTTCAGTAGGAAGTTTTAACTTTTCTCAAGCATGTTGCACTGCATATTCACTGACTTTTAAATCCCCTTTGTGTTTAAAGGTCTTTTTGGAATTCATTTGCCTGTTGCAAGTTAAAAGGTGCATCAGGTGTGATTTTTATCAATCACCATGTTAACTTTAGCAAGGTCAGTAGGCTGAGGCAGTTACACCCTGTAACTAATTTGCTTTGACCACTAGGGCTCTGCTCATTCCCACATTGTACCTCAAGCTTTAGTATACTTCTCAGTAAATGAAAGATTCATTCTTTGGGAGAAACAAATTGCATGTATCAAGGGCACAGTTTGAAGCAGGATGTGCTGATCCAGGTAAGCTTTTACAAGTCCAGGCATTCCGCGTAGAGCAGCAGGTACCTGAGTGCTGTCACAGCGTTGCAGGTTAGAACCATTCTCAAAGGGAGTTGCAGAGGAGTTTTCTCACTAATGTTAATTAGGTACAAACAGGACTCCTGCAAGATTAACTAATGGAATGTGATCATTACGTGTGCTTGTAGAGGGGATTCTGGGTTCCGGAGAACATTTTCTAAAAACCTCATTGCCATCAGCATGGTACAAATTAGCTATTTATAATCCCCAGGAAATGGTCTTTAGCATGAAAATGCTCAACTTTCTCTTGCTCTCTTTACCCTGCTCCCTTTGCAGCCATGGTTCCCCTCCAAGCCTGCTGGTGCCAGCCACTGGGTCAGAGCTAAAGGCAATCAGCTTTCATACAGCTTGGCTACAGGTTATGTACTCAGAATGTCATTTTAAAAGGGGAAAACCACAAAGATTAATGTAGTTGACAGGCATACAGATTAAATACTAATATCCATAGGATTTAAATTTCAGACCTTTACAAGTATTTTATACTAAATAAAATGTTCTTACTACATGGCTAAAGTCTGCAAAGAATGTAGAAGATTAATGAAAGCACCAGATTACTGAAAATCCCACTACCTAGGGACCTGAGGATTGTTTTTCTTCAATGTTTTTTCTTCCCCCCTCACCCACTGCAGAGCTTTCTGCTGTGAAGCAGATGTTCCTGTTCTTGAGCAATGGCCGTGCTGCTCTGCAGTAAGCTTTTCTGTAGAGGTACTGAAATACCTGTGTGTGTTGGTATAAATGTGTTCAGAAACTGCACATGCAAATTAAAAGAGATAAATTAAGCGAACTAATTAGTAATCCCTAGAAAGAGGAGAAGTAGGTTTTAATAGGGCATAACAGCTGCAAATGAGTATGTCCTATTACTGAGATTGTACCTACGTAAGTTACTTGAACAGTTTTAAAATGGTTTCTGACCTTTTGGGTTACACCGTACAGCTAACTGCAGTTACACAGCAGCTCTGAGGCTGGTGGTGTTATTATATATGAGGAGTGTTGTTATTATATATGTTTACTTACAAATCAGTGCAATAGCTGTAGTAGGAGAAGCACTAGTACAGCAGCAACTCCAGGTTAGCTTCAGCAATTGGGATAGAGACTTTGATATTACACAACACTCTGTTTTCTTCTTTCTTAGACTACTTGTTGCAAAACCCACCATCACACTGTTCAGAAAGCACCTGGGCAATGGTACCACTCCTTCTGAGTGTGTAACTGAAGCTGGGGTCCACACATCAATTAGAAATAACTGCTGCTTCCCTCAGTTTCAGACAGAACAGCACGAACAACTCATGTCTATGGAAGTATCTGCTCAAAGATGCGGGAGAAATAATTCAATAAAGTCCAAGCTTTAGTCAACCCTAAATATATTCAAGGAAGAGACATTATGTACAGAAGGCTTATCTATTATTTATATGGTGCCTTAGATACACACAACACTTCATGGGAGAATACAGACAGTCCTTGCCCTGAGGAGCTTACAAGCTAAATTCAATTGAAACCAGCCAA